ATGAAAGTTTATAACAGCTTTATTCATAACTGCCAAAACATATGGAAGAAACTGGTATATTCTTTAGTAGGTGAATGGATAAACTGTGCTACATCCACAAAATGGAGTATTATTCTGTGCTAAAAAGAAATGAGCTATCAAGCCATGAAAAGACATGGTGGAAACTTAAAATCATATTACTGAGTGAAAGAAGCCAATCTGAGAAGAATAAATTCTGTATGATTCCAACTACATGAAATTCATGAAAGGCAAAACTATGAAGACAATAAAAAGATTGGGGATTACCAGAGATTGGGTGGAGGAGGGATAAATACATGGCACACAGAGGATATTTAGGGCAGTGAAACTACTCTGTATGATGCTATAATTGTGGAACTATGTCATTATACATTTGTCAAAATACATAGACTGTACACCAACAGTGAACTATTATGGAAACTGTGGAGTTTGGGTAATTATAATGTGTCAAGAAAAGTTCATCAACTATAATGATTGTACCATTGCAATGGAGGATGTTGGCTGTGAGTAGCTGTGTCAGAGAGAGACAGGGTATATATATGGTAATTCTCTGGGAATTTTGCTGGGAACCAAAAACTACTCTTCAAAATAAAGTCTAGTAATGATTACATAAAGAACATTAGGTAAAAAGTATGGAGGGCTGAACAAAGTATGGAATTTAACTAGTGATAATATATCCATGTTGGTTCAATAGTTTTATAACTGTAGCACTATAATGGAAAAGATGCGAGGTACAGAGACCTGGGTGGGATGTGGGGCAAGAGAACCAACTTTACAATTATCTTGTAAGGCTAATAATATTCTTACATTTGAAAATACATAAATTTAGAATGAGAAGAGAAAGAAAGAGTTTACAATTTATCAAAGTTTGGGCACATTAATTTCTTTTTAATAAGAATATTGGAAGTGGCCTCCACTTAATTTTTCTCCAGTGGTGTGTCAAGCATGTGCTCAGCCCATCTGAGGCTCGGGTCTACGTCTGTACCATGAGGATCCAGCATGCACTTTCCTCTTGTGTGGGAACAAGTCAATGAGCCTTTACATACTCCTCCAGGAGGCAGTGGCCTGCTTCATCCTGGGAGCATGGGGAGACAGTTGGAACCTGCTCTGGACAGCCTTGCTAGGGCTCCAAACCTCTCCAGTTTCCCCAGGGCACTGAAGTACAAGTGCATCATTTTCTCAGTATACTGAGATGTGAAATAATAACACAGCCTCAGCACAAAGCTGGCACATATACACTAACTGGGAGTGATGGTCTATTTCTCTCCATGAACACCCATGAAAGGGTGGGGAGCATAGGCAATGATGAGGGGACCAATGACACCAACAGGGAGGAGATGACATATGAGCTGAATCTTGAAGGATGAGCAGGTGTGTGCTTGGCAAACTCAGACTAGAAGAACACTCCAAGTAAGGATAACAGCAGGATCAAAGACAGGAAGGGAGCAAGCAAGTGCATGAAGTATTCAGGAAATGTTGAGCAAGTGATTTAGTGTGGCCTGATTGGAGGGTGTGTGTGTGTGTGTGTGTGTGTGTGTGTGTCTGGAGATGAGTCCAGAATGACAGGCTGAGCCAACAGGGAATGAACTACACAGCCTGGTCTAATATTGTGTCTCCTGCTTGGAATAGAACAATCAAGGCAGAAGTTGGGATGGGATCACAGGAAGACTGAAGGTCCATGCAAAGCCAGTGGGGGAAGTTCCATGTTCCCTGGCAAAATTTAGAGACAATTTTCAGAAAAGATCCTGAAGTTCATGTTTCCTTATAAATACGTTTTGTGTTTGACTTACAGTCTTCTTCCAGAAAGAACCTGTCTGCCTCTTGAGGATCAAGATGAATTTCTCATTTTGCAGGAGACTGCTGTGGCCTATAGCTCCCTGGGAAACAAAGCAGTTTTATTTTGCCTATGTCCAAATAATTCCCCAAAATATCACATTGCGAGTGTGTGTTTATGGAGGTCATGGCTCAATAAGGTGTTCAGGACAAAGGGGATGGATCTTGGGGTGATCCTATTTTACAAGAAGCTTCGAGTTTGGGGAAAATAGCCACCTCCAATTGAATTCATGAAGAAATTCTTTGAACCACGGAGTGAACCAGTTGATATCCATATCTCTGTGACCTTGAAATTCCCAAACAGGTGGATCTTGAATGGAAGCCCACCATAGTTATGACTTTTGGTATCTTTATTGTGGGCAAGGACAGTATTTTTAGAAAATGTCTATTAGATGCCAACCCAATTTCATATCCACACATCTGGATGTTAATCTATTTCTTAAAAGTACGTGAAGTCTCCACTTTTATTTCTACTAATGTAGATGCGAAAAAAATTCACGAGGTCTGAAAATACTGACCCCCATGCCAACATGTTCTCAGTCATTCAATGCTGGGTGTTGACACTTAGATATCAGGACTACCCAGTTTACCACAATCCCCACCATTCCTATTGTCCCTGTCCCAAAGATAAGGGTCAGTTGGAATTTACTATCACTCTGGTGCTATTGTTTCCTTATACCTGAGTTAAAAAGAAAGCAAACGATTTCTTGTGCCCAAATATCATGAAAAGTGAGGTGACAAAATGTAGCAAAGTCCACATCTTTGTGAAATGAGTCTCCTTCAATATGCTAGTTGTGAAAAACAAGCACGTCTGTTTTTAATGAATACAACTTGAAACCCCATTATGAGCCAAATCCGTTCTGCTTCATTTTATGTGAATAGCTTAGCTCCATAAAATATTTAGTATGAGCCCAAAATAAAGTAGTGCTATTGTCAGCAATCTGTAGATGAACAAATGGAGGTTCAGAGAGGTTAATTGGTTGTGGAAGGTCACACAGCTAAAAGAAAGCCATTTCCAAGATTCCATGTAGGTCATTCTAGTGTAAGAATCTGCCTATAGAAGGCTGACCAGAGGGAAATCCTTGTGTGTGACCTGAAGGTGAATATTTTCAGCAGAAATCCCCTAGACCAGGAATTCACTCTTTACCAGCCTTTCAGAGGCCATGGATTCCTCTGTCCATATAGTAACTTTAGGTGCCTCTGTGAAAACAGACTCAGAAACCAAGATGGCTTCCCCAGCTTCAGTCAATCATTCACAAACATTTCTTTAGAGAGACAGTAGGAACGATCAGACAGTGCATGTGGGTAGTCCCAATGTTCAACTCTGGACACCTCCTCCTCCCAGCTCTGTGACTTTGGACAAGCCCTGAATATAATAAGCTCCAATTTCCATCTGTAAAATGATAGGAACCCTAGCTACTATGTCGTGGGGTGGGTGTGTTGGGAATTCAGGGAGAGCTTTAGGTAAAATAGGCAGCCACAGGGCTTGGCAGCTATGATAGTTTTGTTATTGTTTATAACCCCACAGATATTCCTGCTGGGGTCCTCATCCCATCAAGGAGGGTCTTTGCAAGGCTGAGCTGTCCTCTTATCCTGGCCACTGGGGGAAAGAGAAGGGCTTGAAGGAAGCAAGTATAATGCCCTGCCTATACGTCCTCCCACAGGGTTACACCAACTACTTTCCATCCAGGAACTGGCTCCCTCCCAAGGGGTATGACTGGGAGGAGTGTGATAAAGATAGACAGGTGTGTGTGTTGTAAAATCCATCTGCCAGGGAAGGCCTGGCACAGCAGATGAGACAGCTGTAAGCCTGCAAGCTCACTCTCACATCTGGGATTACACTGGATCTGCATACTCAGAACAAGGTAAGAGTCTGGCTCTTCTAAGAGTTCCATTCCCCACCTTTCTTCTCACTCCCCTAAGGACTTCAGGATCCTATCAGGGACATGTGGGGGCTGAGTCTCAGTGCCCTGATGAACAAGTGGGTCTTCACATGGTTTATCTAGGCCCCCATCCACCCTTCATTGAGGAGCCCACTGTGACTGTCTGTCTCCCTTTCTCAATTCTGAGGAGAGGCCACAAGCCCAGAATGGAAATAAGATCTGGACCATTTTCTGGGCCTGCCTCTTATACAAGAAAAATCTATATTTCTTTTAAAATGGAATACTGACAGAATATCTTATCATGAACTATACCAAATAAAACCCTGAGTAGTTCATAACTTTCTTATTTGTCGTCAGTATTTTCCAAAGGACAGAGCAAAGTTGAAATGCAAGAGGTGAGCACAGTTGGTGGTATAAAAGGCCAAAGAGATAAGTTCTGGCTCCTTTCCCAGCTTTGTTCACTTTGCATAGTCAAATGGTATGACCTCCCCTCCTTCATGCCTTTCCTTAAGCTCTTACTGCACTCCAAATGGCCCCCTCACAAACCCATCTATCTCAAAGTGTCCAAATCCCACACGTGTTGAACGTTGGGTCAAACATCACCTTTCATGTCATTTGCCATGTCCTTTCTCATTATGTGGTCACCTGAGTCCATGTGGCACTGGATTAGAAATCCAGCACATGGAGCTGGAGGAGATTTTGTCAATTATCACACCTAACATCTCGATATCCAGGGGCACTGAGGGGAGAGTGACTTGGCCAAGATCAAGTTGGGGACAGAATTGGGACAGACTCCTTGTCAATGCTATTTAAATTCCCCCCAAAGTTTTTTCTAATCTTTTTAAGATGCGACCTACTCATTCACATGATATATCCAACATCTAGTCTAGTGCATGGTATATAGTAGGTGTTCCATAAATGCTTGTTTAATTAGTAAATGAAGGAGTGAGTGAGTGAGCAAATGCAGGAGTAAAGGAGTAGTGAATGAGGGATGAGAGCTTATTTGGCTCAGAGAGTGGTGAAGGAATGGAGAAAGAGTAGGAGGTTTTTAACATTCAGCACTCAAGTCAAGGAGAAATGTGAATAGATGGGCTGCTGGTCTAGTAATTCCAGGAGCCAGAAGGATTCTTGATCTGATCTCACTTCTAAGCAAGGAGGCATATGTCAGTGTAGAGGGAGGGTCATCCTGCAGCCCTGTATTGCTGAACTATTGCCCAGCACTGACTCACCTGCTCTTGTCAAACAGGTTTCCACAAAGCTGAAGCCATGAGGATCCATAGCCTCACCCTGCTCTCCTTCCTTTTTCTGGCTATTGTGGTATCATTGGTGAAGGGCAAAAAGGAAGTAAAGAATAGACATGTCAGCAAAGGCACCAGAGATAAATTGCATACTCTGGGAGACACCCAGATTGAACCACCCAAACACCTGGCCAAAGGCAAGTTTGTCACCCAAGACCATGCCAACTGCAGATGGGTGGTGACTGAGCAAGAAGAAGGCATCACCCTGAAGGTTGAGTGCACCCGACAGGACAACAAGTTTTCCTGTGTCTTTACTGGCAATCCAACTTCCTGCCTAGAGTCAAACAAAAAGAATGTCTATTGGAAACAAATTGGTCGGAACCTGCGCTCTCAGAAGGTCATCTGTGGGGACCCCAAAACTGTCCTGAAAACCAAGGTGTGCAGAAAGAAGTTTCCAGAATCCAATTTCGAGCTGGTGAACTCCACTCTGATTCAGAACAAGAAACCCAGCCAGGCGTTAACAGAGCCCTCTCCCAGGGAGCAGAGCAAAGTCAGTAAGGCCTCCCTCATGGAACCTAAAAAGGTCAAAGAGTTATCCCCTAAGGAGCAGATAAAGGTCAAAGAGAATATCCCTTCTGGCTCAGTGGAGACTCAGACCATAGCCACCCAGGATCCCAACTGTGTGGAGGACCCAGACTTAATAAATCAGACAAAGATGGCCCTGGACTACTGTGGGGAATCCTGGGGCTCTATCTGCAAATTCTTCATCGCCATGGTCCAGAGCAATTCATGCTAATGAGTCAAAAGAGAACAGAGTCCCTTAGGAGGTGCTATGTCAAAGCCCTTCAGTATGCTGTAAAGCTCTCTAAGTAAAATGAACATTTGTGCTATGAGAGTGCAGTGGAATATTTAAACAGATTTTATAACTTTTGTTTTTGTGTTTTGGAATTTGCTTTATATTCATTTCCTTAAATTTTATTTTCAGAGGTTGTTTACCTCAGTATATGTTTCCATGACCCATGAAGTTATGTGTATATGAGCAGTGAGGACCATTCTTTGAGCTGAATGAGCCAGAGCGATGATTCCAGTGCAATGTACTTTCTGCTGAATTAACAAAGTTAATAAAGCTCTGGGTATTTTTCAGAAATATGTTCAACCATTTTTTGTTTCTTTATGTTTACTTTCATTTAACTCATAAACAGTCCCCAAATATCAGTGTAAAAAATATCTAAGTAATGACCCATCCTAAGTCATCCCCAAATGTAACCCATTCCAGAATCCCTATCTTTATCCTTTCATCCATTGGTCTGTGGTGTTTGATGCTTACTACACTGTAATAATTAGGATCCCTGATTTCAAGTGGGATAAATAAGGCATGGTGTGATTAAAAACACAAATCACGGTCTCACAGATGGTAAGAGGGGAGGAAGATTTGAACCCAGAAGGTCTGTAAAGCCAAGTCCACAAGCCAGAGGAACACCTTCCATTGACTCAGGTCGGAGCTGGGCATCACTTCTTGCTATATGGGAGACCCCTGATTTTGAGGGGTTCATTTCTGGCCTTGGGGAGAGGGGCTTGGTTAAGTATAGTGTTCTGTGATGAAAACCCCATGGAAACAGGAAAAGCCAGTCTGGAAAACCAGAGAGAGGAGGTGGAAGCTGCTGGAAGAATTCTGGTTGAACTTCATGGAGGAGGTATTACTGGAGCTGGATTTTGGAAAGAGTATCCTTAGGTAGGAAATGGGACATAATGAAGACACTTTGGGCAGATGACAACATATGTGAATGCAAAGAGATGTGAAAATCTGAGAAGCTGGGAGAGGCCAGGTGGCTGGAATTTGATGGGATATAGGGATGATGCTACTGTTAGTCATTTATGTATTAGTAAGAAGGATCTGAAAGTGCTTTTATTCAAGAGTTGGGAGAGAGGAAGTCGTGCCCTTAATGCTTTGTCACAATTTCACTAAGAGCAAAAAGTGAAGAGCAAAAGATGATTAAAAAAAAAGACAAAAAAACAAAAACAAAAAAGCAAAACACTGTAGAGTCTCTGTCAGGTGCAAGGAGGAATGGCAGGTGGGGTGGAAGAGTAGCCATTTACACTCACCAAATTACCAGGACCTACACTGAGGATTGTCAATGGCCAATCCAGAGTCTGTCATTATTCACATAATCAACATTAACATTTATCTCCCAATTGCCATGTGCCAGGCACTGTGCTAAGCTCTTTCCTCTGCATGCATTCATTCATTCACTCATTCATTCAACATATAATGTATTAAGCACTGATTCTGCCAGAATCTGTTCTAGGTGCTGGAGATACAGAAGTCCACAGCAGATGAGATACAGATGCTCTGCTCCCATGGAACTACCAGTAGGGAAAGTGATGAATTAATCACAAACGTACAAGAGATAGAGAGGGAAAGTAAAGGAGAAGAAAGGGATAACAGTGATGAAGGGTAACCAGTCTTGGATCAGATGGTCAGGAGAGGCTTCTCTCTGGAGATGACTTTTGAATCTCAATGTGTATGAAGTAAGGAATCAAGCCTGGTAACTCTGTGGAGTAAGGATGTTCCAAGCAGAGGGTGCAAATGCCCTGAAATGAGTTTGTTGCCTACTCTGAGCTCCCACTATATGTCAGACATTGTTCTAGGGCTAGAAAATGGCAGCAAACAAAAAGAAAAAAATCCTTCTTCTCACGGTGTTTATATTCCAATGACTGGCTCATGCCTGGCATGCTCAGGAACATCAAAGTTTGCAGAACCATTGTAGGACAGGGCCCAGGACCTGATTTGTGAAACTTACCCCCATTTGCAAGAGAACTAAACCAACATTTCAGCCCATCCCAAGCTTCTCCTAGCCACCCCATGTGAGGGACATTTTCCCTTAAAGTCTACACAGATTGTGAGCCCTCTGGATCTCCCCTACTCATACATCTCAGTTCCATGTAGTCTTGAGATAGGAAAAGACTGTTGAACACTTCCAGGGGTCATTAAATAATAACCCTGGTCTAGCCTGACTGAAATAAACATTGAAGAACTGACCAAACTAGATTTGAAGACTTTTTAAGGTCATTTCCAGCCCATGAGGTGGAGGTTTTTCTAGTTTACTCATGGTGTTTGGCCACTGGCAGAACTGGGAGGAGGTTTGTTTCCAACATGGCAGAGTTTCCTAGACTTGGGCTAGAGGTTTGCTTCTGCTGCTTCACACACAACATCTCTGTGCCAATTATTTAACTCCTCTGAACTCCAATGAGCTCACCTCAACAATGGGGACAGTGACACCCACCTTGAAGGGCTGCTGTAAGTCTCACATTGGTCAATAAATCTAGAGCACCTAGTGGCTCACTGCTTGCACAGAAGGTGTTCAACACAAGAGACAAAAGTCCACAGCACACGACCATTGTGGAGGGAGTTCAGAATTTCCCTATGTAAACTTTAAAAGTGTGAGGGGTTTTTTCCCTAACACAATAAGCAAAGAAGAAAGATAATTATTGATAACCTAGTACATGCCAGTGGCTTTGCCCCCTTCTCTTATCTAATCCCCTCAACAACCCTGTCTGGTAGGTATTATCATCCTTGTTTTCTAGATGAGGAAACTGAAGCCCAGAAAAGCTGAGCAACTTTCCAGGGTCACCAAGCATGAAGTGGCAGAGCCTGTAAGTGAGAAACCCAGGGTCTGGAGGTCCTCCAGCCCTTTCTGTGTCTGAAGCTCATGATTTTCTTCATTTGATGGAAAAAGAGTAAAATTTGTGGTTTTAGACATGGACCAAGTCATAAGGTGGACAGGATGCTTCAGTCTCTTCCATATATACATCCCCTTCAGGTCCTACAAAAAAAAAAAGCTCCAGAAGTTAAAGCTTTTGTTCATGCTTAGCCTTCCTTCATAGTCACATTCCAATGAATGATTGTCTATAAAACTACCTCTCATAACACCTTGGAATGTGACAGTAAAAACCAAATTTAAGAACACAACACCGATTTTACATTAGCTTCCATCCAACTTGGCATTCCATATTTTCTCTCTGGAAACTTACTGAATGTGAAGTGAAAGGACCAGCTTGTGTGTGTGTTTGTGTGTGTATGTGTTTGTGTGTGTATGTGTACTTATGCTTAAGATATCGTTCCCCTTGATAGCAAGAGGCAGGAAGATTTCAGGTAGGTAAGAGGTGTTTCAGGATGGCATGTCTGCATCCCCTAAAGCAGCTGAGTAATGGGATTGTCTATAAAACTACCTCTCAGCATAAAGAGGACCTCTTCCCTGCCTGCGGCACTGTCTCTGTGTAGTAACTCACAACCACACCAGTGCCGACTTGAATCTCTGGAATCCAGCCCATCTCACCTGGCCTCCTACCCAACCATTTCTTCCCCCGCCTCCCTCCTGAATTGTTTTTGGCAGAACAAGAAAAGGAGGCCAAAGTGTTTGGAACTGACAAACACAAGGGCAGCCATCCTCTATGGTGTTGGTTCTCATAACACCACACATAGAATACTCACCTTCAAATGTCTCACTCAGAAACACTTCATGAACAATATGCAAGAAAACATTCATTAGGAGCCCTGCTAAATGAGGGATCAGGATGAAAGATGGGAGAAGATTCCAGAAAAAGGCTGTTGTAGAACCTGGTGAGTTCAAAATGGGTTCTCCAAGGAGAGTTTTCATCAGGCAGTTGGATATGTGGGAAATAACACAGCAAAGGTGGTCTCCATCTTGTCTATCATGATAGCCCCAGAACTTAGGTCACAGGCCAGCATATAATAGTTCTTGAATAAATATTGGTTGAGTGAATAAAAGAGGAGAGAAATCATGGCAAGGGCAAAGATTATGGGCTTCAGAGTAAAAGAAGCTGGGTTTGAGTTTCTAGTTGTTTGATCTGAGACAAGTTATTTTTTTCTTATTCTCAGGTTCCCCATTTATAAATTAGGTCTAAGTATCCATCGAGTAAGAATGACACATGATTTAAAGTCTAAAGTGTGATCCTCACACAATGGATTTTCACTAAGATTTGGTTATAAGTGAATGAATGAATGAATGAATGAAGGAGCCAATTAGTTGAGAGAGAAGACAAGGAGGAAATGTTCTAGATAGGCTACATGGGACTCAAGACACATCATGTCCAAGGGCTTTCCTGTCAAATGGAGTTTGGCTGTTCCTAATCACCTCCCAAAGACCACCTTCTGCCTAACAGCCCTGGAGGCATCCCACACTCATGGACTGGACAGAAGCACTTTCCACAAAATAGGAGGAGGTGAAGGCAAAGCTGGTTCTTTAGGGCAACCTTTAAGACTTTCTTAACCTGCCTTCCGGTGACTCACCATGGCACCTCGCCTTCATCTCCCTTACATCCACAACTTGGAGTGCTGCAAGCCACCTGCTGCCTGGGTCATCTCCCTGGGGGGCACTGTTCCATATGCCATGTGCACGCCAATGACTCACACATTTACATCTTCAGCCAGACCTCTCTCCTGACCTCCAGCCTCACTCAGCATTGCCACTTTCATATCCAAAAGGTGTCTTAAACATCATACAACTGAAACACTCCACTAATCTTTCCCCCAATTCTTGCTCCTCCATGTCCTTCCCAACTTAGTTCATGGTAAAGCCATCCTTCCCATTGTTCAGGTCAGAATCGTTGTGTGGTCCTATTTGACTCCTCTCACTGAGCTCATCTAATTCATCTACAATTCCTGCCATCCCCACCTTCAAGAAAATATTCCAAAATATGACATTTTGCCACTTGATCACCGCCAGCCTGGTCCAAGCCCAATCCTATCCTCCTGGATTATTGCAGTAGTGTCCT